GTTCCCAAATTGGGGAGGGGAGCGGGGGGGGGGGGGGAGAAAGAGAGAAGATTTTTTAAGGGATCCGAGAAGGAAGAAAACGACACAGAGAAGGGGGGGAAAAGAGCGATGCGGTGGAAAAAGGAGGCCGTTTGGAAAAGGGACGCCCCCCCCGTTCCTCCCAATTCCACGCCTCTCTTAGCGCCGCCCGCGTCCCTAAACAAAGACGGTCAAAAACGAGGACGCCCCTTTAAAAAAAAAAAAATAACGGACCCAGGCGAATTTGTGCATTCAGATCATCGAGGATGGAGGAGGAGGAGAAGAGGCTGGGCCGAGGAGGAGAGGAGGAAGGGAGGGGAGGGGGAAGTACAAACGTAAAATGTGGAAATTAAAAATATATTTATATATAAAAAAGAGAGGGCGGGAGATCCAGGGCCCAAACCCCACACCCCCGGGGAAGAGGGCAGGCCCGCCCCCTTCCCCCCCGGCCCGTAAACCGGCAAACGCTGGGCGACGGGGACTCTCGGAAAGGGCCTCCGGCGTGGATCGAGGTGGCTAGCGGATTCCTAGAGGGGCTGAGGGAGGAGCTCAGCACTCAGTCTTCCAGGACGATGGGTTCGCTGGTGCTGGCAGGATGGACTGGGGGCACGGGCAACAGGGGAGTCCCCAGAGGCCTGAGTGGCAGGGATGACTTCACCTTCACCGGCAGGTTGGGACGGCGGGCAGCCCGGCGCATCTCCAGGTGGCTCAGGGCCTTGCGCAGGGCTCTGGGGAACGAAAAGAGCAGCAAAGTTGTTTTTTTTTTACGGCGCCCAGCCGGGCAGGGCGATGCAGGCAAAAACCTGAGCTGAGAAAGAACCGTTTGTTTCTCCACGCCCCCTCCCCAAATTCTCAGGGGTCTCCCTATTTGTCCAGCAGCCCCCTGGCTTCTGAAGCATTTTAATATTCCCAATCAGCAAATCTCTAGGTCAGTGTGCTTGGCCCCTTTAAGGGGGGGAGGGCGACTTCATCTCCCAGAATCCCCCAGCCTCCATGCTTTAAGACAGGTGGACCCCAGCTCCGCGAATTCCCCAGCATGCTGGCTGCAGAACTCCCCGAATTCCCAGCTGGGCAATTCTGGGAGTTGAAATCCACCCCTTTTAAATAAGATAGGTGGACTCCAACTCCCAGAATCCCCCTGCCAGCATGCTTTAAGACGGGTGGGATTCTGGGAGTTGAAGTCCACCCCTCTTAAAGGGGCCGAGCCTCAGAAAGACTGACCTAGGTTGCAACAGGAGCCTGGTCATTCTAGAACAACAGGTGAGAATCCAGATTTCCCCACCGTTCTGATGCAGGGTAATAATTGTGGCACGCTCTGCCTTCGAAGCCAGCAGGACTGAAACACCACGTCACCCTCCCAAGGCCAGAGAGGGGGGGGAGGGGGAGTGTGAGGCGATGAAGTGGCCCACCCCACCATTACTTCCCCGCCAGCCTTGCAAGGTAGTACACTCAGAAATACGAGCTGTCTTGTAAGGCTCCATTAATCTTGCAAATCTGAAAGTCCATCTTCCCCACCCGCCTTGCCTTTGCAGACTAAGAAACTAGGGAAGGTTTCCCCCCCCCCCGGAGAGATTTCCCCCGCGCCCCTCGTCCTTCCGTGGGCTCGGCTGCCTCTTATCTGGCCGCGGCCTAGGCTGTGGGGGGAAGGTATTCCCGTAGCCGCATCACAGGAGCAAAATTCGGCAAGCCTGGAAGTCCCTCTCTTTCCCCGCCACCCCTACCTTTCCAAGGCAGGAAACTAGGGACGGTCTTTTTTCCCCGAAGTGTTTTTCACACACCCCTTTTCCTTTGGAGGGCTCAGCTGTCTCTTATCTGACCTAGTCTGTGGGGGGGCTCATTCCCATAGTCCCAACACAGGAGCAGAATTTGGCAAGCCTGAAAGCCCCTCTCTCCCCCCCACCCCGCCTTTACAATGCAGGAAACTAGGAAGGGTCTTTTTCCGAAGTGTTTTCCACACACCCCTTTTCCTTTGGAGGGCTCAGCCGCCTCTTATCTTTCTTCCTGCCGTCTCCCCAGACACCAATCCATCGCCCCCGCTAAGCCCCCTGCCTTCGTACCTGGTGTCCTTGGTCGCCACAAAAACGACAGGATTGGGGGCGTCGGCCGGGTTCAGCTTCTGACGTTTCAGGGCAGGCTGACTGCTTGACCTCATGCCGGACGTTAGGGGCCGTCCGTTGGCCGAGAAGGGGAGCCCGCCCCCTGCCACCTGCGCCCGGTCGCACACAGAGCTATCAGCGAGAGGAACACCCCCCCCAAAGCAGTGTCTACCTCTTGCTTGCCCCCCCGCCCGCCTAGCCGCCCCGCCCTCCCACACTCCAGATCCGCCTCCTTCTGAATTGCCAGACAAGGGGACGAACGTTGGTTGGGTAGCAGCCAAGATTTGGTTGAATATAATAAAAGTAAGGGTTCCCCTCGCACATAGGTGCTAGCCGTTCCCGACTCTAGGGGGCGCTGCTCATCTCCGTTTCAAAGCCAAAGAGCCAGCGCTGTCCGAAGACGTCTCTCTGGTCAAGTGGCCGGTGTGACTCAACTCCCGAAGCCGCACGGAACGCTGTTCCCTTCCCACCAAAGGTGGTTCCTATTTGTCTACTCGCATTTTTTTTACGTGCTTTCGAACTGCTCGGTTGGCAGAAGCTGAGACCAGAAACGGGAGCTCACTTCGTTACGGGGCGCTAGGGATTCGAACCGCCGACCTTTCCGATCGACAAGCTAAGTCTCCTGAATATAATACAGGCGGCCATTATTGTGTTTTAAAGGAATATAAGTGGGTTATTCCCACTTCTGTAAGTGGGGGGAGCTGCCCGGAACGAGCAATACAACGGAAATAAGGGGGAAAAACCCACCTAGATGGACTCCCAAACTGCAGCAAAACTACGACAAGGACACGGAGGGTTGTTAACTGGGGGCCACTTCTCCCCTTGCTGGCTTCCCAAATCTCGGGATTTTTTCCCCTCACCCCCCCCCAAAAAGCTCCCCTTCCCTCCTCCCACACAGACATCCCCTCTCCCCCCCTTCCAGGCCCGTCAGCTCGCAGCTCAGCTACTCACGTTCTCGAAAGTCCGTTTGCTGACGATGCCAGCCAAGCCTCGGTTTGGGGTCAGCTGATTCCGGTTGATGGGCGTCTTGGTGCCCCGAGGGGTTCGGGGTTTGAGGGGCGCCTGGGCAGCTGCGAAAAGGACAAATAGGGCGGTGAAGGTCCTTCTCATCCTTTCTCCTACCTTCCTCTCACGTTTGTTCGTTCTTTTTCTTGCCTTTTTTCCTTCCTTTTCCTTCCTCCCTTCATCTTTCTTCCCTCCCTCCCCATCCATCCATCCATTTTCCTCCCTCCTTTGCCACTCCACCTGCACCCTTCTCCTCCCTCTTTCCCTGACCACCTTCCTTCCATTTTCTTTCTCTTGTGCTTTCTTGTCTTTTTGTTCCTTCCTTCTTCTCCTCCCTCCCTTCATCTTCCTTCCCTCCCTCCCGTCTTCCCTTCCTCCCTCTCGCCCATCCATCCTACCCTCTCCTTTCCAATTATATCTCACCTCCTTCCTTCCTTCCATTTTCTTTCTCTCGTGCTCTTTCTAGTCTTTTTCTTACTTCCTTCCTCTTCTCCCTTCATCTTTCTTCTTTCCCTCCCTCCCATCCATCGTCCATCCTCCTTCCTGTTTGTACCTGACCTTCCTTCCTTCCGTTTTCTTTCTCATGCTCTTTCTTTCTCTTTCTCCTTGTCTTTTTCTTCTTCCCTTCCTTCGTCCTCCTTCCCTCCTGCCTTCCCTTCCTCCCTCCTCATCTATCCTCCCTCCTCCTCCCTGATTGTACTTGACCTCCTTCCTTCCTTCCTTCTTTCTCTTGTGTTTTCTTGCTCTTTGTTTTTTTCTTCCTTCCTTCCTCTTTTCCCTCCCGTCTTCCTTTCCTCTCCCCCTCCCATTCTCCACCATCCTTTCCGATTGTACCTGACCTCCTTCCTTCCTTCTTCTTCCTCTTGTGCTCTTTCTTGCTCTTTCCCTTAGTCTTTTTATTCCTTCCTCTCCTCCCTTCTTTCCTCTTCCTTCCCCCTCTCCCACCTTCCCTTCCTCCCCTCCATCCTCCTTCCTTTTCCTTGTGCTCTTTCTTGCTCTTTCCCTTTGTCTTTTTGTTCCTTCCTCTCTTCCGTCCCTTCATCTTCCTTCTCTCTCCCTCCCTCCCTCCCTCCCATCCATCCTCTGCCATCCTTTCCAATTGTACCTGATCTCCTTCCTTCGAAAGAAATGTAATGGGGGGGAGAGAATCTCTTATTTTGCTAATACAGGAAGACAGACCATTCCCACCCCGTAGAGGCCCCTTACCCAGCTCCTTGATAATGGTAGCCAGAGGAAGACGGACCAGCGGGTGGATCTTGAGGGGGGTCTTGGCCGCCTTGGGAAGCCGGATCGAGCCTGGAGAGGAAGCAAGCCATACCTTACTTGAGAGCCCCCCCCATTGTCCCTGCCCGCCCCCACCTACCCCACCCTCTCTCCCCCCCCCACCTACACTCAGCCTTGATGGCGTTGGAGTTGATGGGCGCGTAAGGGCGCCGGGCGGCTCGCCGCGGCTGCAAGATATCCCGGCACATGCGCCGGGCGATGCGGGTCAGCTTGGTGGTCTGAAGGAGGAAGGTCTGCCGGTTTTTCGCCAGCAACTTGGCCCGGTTGGCGCTGGTGGTGTACGGCGAGAGGCTCTGGGCTTCCGGCCGAGACGTGTGGCCCCGAGAGTGGGGCTCCTGAGGAGGGAGGGAGGGAGGGCAGAAGGGGCTCAGAGGAAGCATTTGGCGGACTGGCAAAGGCATCGGGCTAGAAACTGGGAAATGGTGATTTCTAGTCCTACCTTAGAGATGAAGGCCAATTAAGATGACTCTGGGCCAATTACCGGGAGACGGTGAGTTCTAGTCCCGCCTTAAGCCATGAAAGCCAATTGGGTGACTCTGGGCCAATCACCAGGAGGCGGTGAGTTCTAGTCCTGCCTTAAGCCATGAAAGCCAACTGGATGACTGAGCCAATCACCAGGAGACGGTGAGTTCTAGTCCTGCTTCAAGCCATGAAAGCCAACTGGGTGACTCCAGGCCAATCACCAGGAGACGGTGAGTTCTAGTCCTGCCTTAAGCCATGAAAGCCAACTGGGTGACTCTGGGCCAATCGCCAGGAGACGGTGAGTTCTAGTCCTGCCTTAAGCCATGAAAGCCAACTGGGTGACCCCGGGCCAATCGCCAGGAGACGGTGAGTTCTAGTCCTGCCTTAAGCCATGAAAGCCAACTGGGTGACTTTGGGCCAATCACCAGGAGAAGGTGAGTTCTAGTCCTGCCTTAAGCCATGAAAGCCAACTGAGTGACTCTAGGCCAATCGCCAGGAGACGGTGATAAACCATGAAAGCCATTGGGTGACTCTGGGCCAATCGCCAGGTTAAGGTGAGTTCTAGTCCCGCCTTAAGCCATGAAAGCCAGCTGGATCTCCCTTTCTCAGCCTAACCCTCCTCTCATAGCTCTGTTGTTGCAGGTGAAAGCTGTGTCGGATATTCACGGCCTTGAGTTATGAATGAAAATAACAGCCATCGGGAACCCCAGGCGCCCTCCCTATTAAGCGCAGCAATCATTCCTGGCGCAGCCCCGATTCGCAACCAGCACCCCACAGGATCGTAGGCCCACTGAGCCGGTTCCCCACCTCTAACGCAAAGCCACAACGGCGTGTGTGCATGTGTTCCTCTTACTGTGATGCTGCGGGCAGCTCCCTCCAGCTGCGTCGGGGTCTTCAGCCCCCCGTATTTCTTCCAATAGATCCAGCAAGAGGCGCAGAGGCGGCACTGCATATTGGGGGGGCCCCAGGCGTACCACTGGGCGGATTGGGTGGCTGTGGGGCGAGAGAGAGGGGGGGGGAGGGCCCAATGAGGTCCTCGTCAACACCTCCCACCCACCCCTCCGCTGCAGGGGGGGGCTCAGCCCTTCTCCGACTTCAGTTCCCCCAGGTACGAAGAAACAACACGATTGGGGCTCCAGCCGAAGGAAGAGGCAGCAGCCCCCATTTCTTTTTGGGGGGGGCGGGGGGGAAGACTTACTGTGGCAACTCTCACAGGTGAGGCCTTTCTGGAACCCGGCGCCGTTCATTCCGGGCTTGGAGCCCACGGAGATGATTTGATTCGGATTCGGTTTTGTGCTGAGAAAGGGGAGAGAATAAGAGGGAGAAACGGCTTCAGGGGTGACAACTCGGCTGCCTTTTTATTTTCACAGGCCGCCCCCCCAAAAGCCAATTCTGTGGGGTGGTTTTCTTGCAGACGTTTCATGGCCCAACTAAGTGACATCATCAGTGCTGAAAGACGACGAGAGCAAGCCTCCCTCCCTCCCTCCCTCCCAGCATTGAGGGTGTTCCCCGGTTGGGTCATGAAAACGCCTGCAAGAAAACAGCCCAGCTTAAGAGAGCACAAAAACCCTCCTCCTCCTCCTCTTCCTCTCCATCCGCCCCACTCGCTTCTAGCACTGATGATGTTCTGTAGTTGGGTAATGAAACATCTGCAAGAAAACAACCCAGCTGAGAGAGCACCAAGGACGCCACAGTCGTCCTCCTCCCCAATCCACACTCCCTTCTAGCACTGATGATGTTCCCTAGTTTGGTAACGAAATATTTGCAAGCTCAGAGAGCGTCAAGGACCCTGCAATTCTCCTCTTTCTCCTTCCCCCTTCTAGCACTGACGATGTTCCCTAATTGAGTCATGAAACGTCTGCAGGAATACCGCCAAGCTCAGAGAGCACCAAGGACCCCACAGTTCTCTTCCTCCCCCTCCTCTTCCTTCTAACACTGATGATGTTACCTAGTTGGGTCACGAAACGCCTGCAAGGTCAGAGAGCATCAAGGAGTCCACAGTCACACGCCTCCTCTCTGCAAACACCCGTCCCTTCTAATACTAGTAATGTTATCTAGTTTGGTAATGAAACGTCTGCAAGAAAACCACCAAGCTCAGAGACAGCATTAAGGACCCCACAATTCTCCTCCTTCTCCCTTCTAGCACTGATGCTGTTACCTAGTTGGGTCACAAAACGTTTGCAAGAAAACCACCAAGCTCAGAGAGCACCGAGGACCCCACAGTTCCCCCACTCCTTCTCCTCTTCCTTCTCCTCCTCTTCCATCTCCGCTTCCTCCTCCTCCTCCACCATAATCCCCATTCCCTTCTAGTCCTGATGATGTTCCCTAGTTGGGTCAAGAAACGTCTGCAATAAAACCACCAAGCCTAGAGAGCACCAAGCACCCCACACTCCTCCTTCTCTTCACAAGCCCCACTCCCTTCTAGCACTGATGATGTTACCTAGTTGGGTCAAGAAACATCTGCAATAAAACAAGCAAGCTCAGAGAACACCCAAGGACCCCACAGTTCCCCCCTCCTTCTCCTCTTCCTTCTCCTCCTCTTCCATCTCCACTTCCTCCTCCTCCTCCTCCTTCTCCATAATCCCCATTCCCTTCTAGTCCTGATGATGTTCCCTAGTTGGGTCAAGAAACATCTGCAAGAAAACCACCAAGCTCAGAGAGCACCGAGGACCCCACAATTTCCCCCCTCCTCCTCTCCTCCATAATCCCCTTTCCCTTCTAGTCCTGATTATGTTACTTAGTTGGGTCAAGAAACATCTGCAAGAAAACCACCAAGCTCAGAGAGCACCGAGGACCCCTCCTTTCAACCCCAAGTTACAAATACGCTCTTCTATTGGATCCCAGATCTGGCAGGGATCAAAACAA